GGTAACTCACAGAGACTCTGCTGCTGATAGTGAAATAGAAGCAATCTCAGCTCTCAGTCTGGCCTCTGCTTCCCCCCTGCTCCTTCATATCTCAGGACTCTGTCCTGCCCCAGCTCTGATGCTTTCAGGACAAATTCCTTGTTAGGTCCTTGTTAGGACCAGTCACAATCTGGGGTCAGTGAGGGTCCATCCTACCCAAGATGTGTGGTGTACAAAAGCCACTTGTTCTCGGCCTAGTTCCCAACACTGGAGCTACCTCTAGACTGCAGAGTATTTGCACCAAAAAAAGTCTGTTTTTGTGCAAAAACTCGCAGGCTATGTCTAGACTGGCATGATTTTCTGAAAATGCTTTTAATGGAAAAGCTTTTCCGTTAAAAGCATTTGTGGAAAAGAGCATCTAGATTGGTACGGATGCTTTTCCGCAAAAGCACTTTTTGTGGAAAAGTGTCCGTTCCAATCTAGATGCGCTTTTCCGCAAAAAAGGCCCGATCGCCATTTTTGCGATCCGGGCTTTTTTGCGCAAAACAAATCTGAGCTGTCTACACTGGCCCTTTTGTGCAAAAGCTTTGTGCAAAAGGACTTTTGCCCGAATGGGAGCAGCATAGTATTTCCACAAGAAGCACTGATTTCAGACAGTAGGAAGTCAGTGTTCTTACGGAAATTCAAGCAGCCAGTGTAGACAGCTGGGAAGTTTTTCTGCAAAAGTAGCTGCTTTTGTGGAAAAACTTACCAGTCTAGACACAGCCGCAGGGTGTCCACATGGCAAGCGTGATTTTGCGCAAGTAAATTTACAGTAAATCAGAAGAAGAGAGGGGTTTTTTCTGCAATAGTTAGTCCTCTTTCTACAAGGAATAGATGGGAAACACAGGTTTTTTTGCACAAAAACATCCTATCGAAAGAAGCACAGGTACCCTGGTGGCCATTTTGTTAATGGCAATCAGAGTTTTGTTGCAAGAGAGCATCTACGCAGTGTGGATGCTCTCTTGCGCAAAAGCGCATTGCTTTTCCAATGCACTTTTGCGGTGTGGATGCACTCTTGCACAAGGAGTCCTTGCAAAGGAGCTCCTTCATAAAAAGCTTCTTGCGCAAGAAGCCTGCAGTCTAGATGCAGACTTTGTATAGACCCAGGTTTCTATGGGGATGCAGGTCAATGGTAGCATGTTTGACTGTAGACCAAGTAGTCCTTGTGTCAAATCCAAGCGACCCACAGGGAAAGTGTCCATATTTTGGAAACAGTTGACTCAATTTATTATAGTCTAAACATCAATTTTCTGGAATCCTTTCAATGAATAAGAACCCTAATCTCCCACCTAGAACTCCCCACTGCAAGTTGTAAAGAGTTTGTATTTAAATGACTATGAACACATAGGCTGTGTCTACATTGGCAAGATTTTGCACAAAAGCAGCTGCTTTTGCGCAAAACCACATTGCCTGTCTCCACTAGCAGGGAGTTCTTGCGAAGAACACTGACGTTCTAATGTGTGAAATCAGTGCTTCTTGCGCAAGAACTATGATGCTCCCGCTTAGGAATAAGCCCTCTTGCGCAACTGTTCTTGCGCAAGAGGCCAGTGTAGACAGGCAACATGAATTTCTTGCGCAAGAAAGCCCGATGGCTAAAATGGCCATCGGAGCTTTCTTGCTCAAGAGAGCGTCTACACCGGCACGGATGCTTTTGTGCAAAAGCACATCTCTTGCGCAAAGGCACATGCCAGTGTAGATGCTCTCTTGTGCAAATACTTTAACGCAAGAACTCTTGCATTAAACGTATTTGCGCAAAATCTTGCCAATGTAGACGTAGCCTTAAACTTTTCTAGCACCAATGCACATAAACCAGCAAACCTGTCCCTCAGTTGAAACCAGATCAAACCCGCTGTGTGTCTGGTTTCTATTTCCATCAATTTAACAAGGGTGTGATCTGAATTCCCATTTGAAAATACAATCTTTGCTGTCACCACCCAAATATTGATACAAAAATCAGGGGAAAGATCATTTGGGAAATCTCACACCCAAAGTACAAACCAGGACACGACCATTAACCAATACCAGGTTAATAAAAATAAAAAAGAAAGAGCTTTTATTATCACCAGAATATTCCTGTTGCAAGCATAATGACTAGATGGACAAATAACGAATATACTTGTGGAGGAAAAATCCACCATGGGCCAGGACTTAGTTACAAGGAAAACCAAACACTTTTTAAAAGTTCACAGACTCCAGATCCCATTCCCCAAACTATAAAACAATAAAACCTAACAGATTTATCTAAACTTTACCCTACTTGCAGAAAGTGAAGAATTGTTTCTTGGAGAAAGAGAGAGACATCTCTGTATCCGTCCATAGTTGGAGAGTAACTCTCAGGACAAAGGACGGAAAAGCCAAAAATTCCTTTCTCCCAGTTTGAAATTCCTACCTACATTCCTATTGGCCACTCCACCTGGCTAGGTGTGGTTAACCCTTTTGTCCCCAGGCTGCTGGCTAATCCTCATGATCATGACAATCTCTTCTTCTGAAAAGAAAATGACCTGGCCATACAAACCCTGCCAGTGCTTGTGAGAAACACAAGGGCTACGTCTAGACTGGCATGATTCTCCGCAAATGCTTTTAATGGAAAAGTTTTTCCATTAAAAGCATTTGCAGAAAAGAGCGTCTTTTTGAGCAAAAAGTACTTTTTGCGGAAAAGCATCCGTGCCAATCTAGATGTGGTTTTGCACAAGAAAGGCCTGATCGCCATTTTCGCCATCGGGGCTTTTACGTGCAAAACAATACCGCGTTGTCTACACTGGCCCTTTTGCGCAAAAGCATTTGCACAAGAGGGCTTTTGCCCGAAAGGGAGCAGCATAGTATTTCCGCAAGAACGCTGACAATCTTACATGAGATCGTCAGTGTTCTTGCGGAAATTCAAGCAGCCAGTGTAGACAGCTGGCAAGTTTTTCTGCAAAAGCAGCTGCTTTTGTGGAAAAACTTGCCAGTCTAGATGCAGCCAAGGAGCCCCCCTTGTGACTATATCTGGGCAAGTGGCTAATGATGAGTAAGGAGCAGATGGGAAGGTTCATATGGCTCATAGTTGAACAAAGGTAGCTGCAAGCGACACACAGAGCACTAGGCACTCCACAGTCCCAATAGCTGGGGGAGATGTGCATGTTAGAGCTTCTACCCATGGGGCTGTAGCTTTCTATGCACAGGGGGCCAGACACCGTCAGGGCTGAAAGGATGGAGGGAAATGGGGAATGGCCACACTTTGGGAGTCAAAGGCATTGTCTGGAACCATAAAGTAGAACAGTTTTTAAAAGATGTTTGAAGTGATAAACAGGAGATCCTGGATTCAACTCCTAGTGATGCTCCATTGTGGGTCTTTGCCCACCAGATGTGAAGACATCAGGGGAATCAGCGAGAAACACCACCTCAGCTTCCTTCTCCCTCCCCCCCGGAACTCTAACCAACTTGGTAGATTCCATGATCCCAGCCTCCCACTGAGCCAGCTAGACAAGAGACAGACCTCCAGTGAGAATGAAACACCCAGCAAGAGGCACAAATTCTCTCTCCAACAGCCTGAGGACAAGGAACCCAAAACACATGAATCCCAGAATACTAGGACTGGAAGGGCCCTTGCGAGGTCATCGAGTCCAGTCCCCTGCCCTCATGGCAGGACCAAATACTGATATGACACCTATTACTGCTGCTAATGACACCCTCAGATGGCTCCTTTCAGCTCGCCAGCTGTCCCTGCCATGGGGTAGACAGGAGAGGATTGTTATACCCAACTGACAGAGGGAGGGAAAAAAGCTGAGAAAGGCAAAGGGCCTTGACTGGCATCACACAGCCAGTCTGGGACAATGCTGGGAACAGGACCCAGAAACCCTGATTTTGAAACTCACCCTGTTTGGAGTTTCATACCCGGACTGATCAGAATAAAGTTACCTCCAGTGAGCCACAGAGCACAGCCCTGCCTAGGGATTGCTCAGCCAGTCGTTTAGAAGAACCAGAACAGGGGTCAGCAACCATTCCGAAGGGACGTGCAAAGATTTAACTCTCCTGCCCTGGGCTGTGCCACTCTTCTGGGAGACAGGGAGGATTTCTCTCCACTGTATACCCTGTGGACCACCTGGGTGGTGTAGTAAGCTGAGGGTCTGTAACATGGAGTCAGCAGGCCTAAATAGAGGCCTGTAACATGAAAACAGCAACAGGCCTGCAATCTTGTGAGCAAGACTTTGGTTCACTAACACAGGAGCCAAGAAAGAGGCCCTACTGATAACTGTGCGATTGTGTAAGTTAGAGTGGCGAGGAGTCCTGTGGCACCTTATAGACTAACTGAAGTGTAGGAGCATAAACTTTCGTGGGCAAAGACCCACTTCGTCAGATGCATGACAGTTAGGGTATGTCTACACTACCACCCTAATTCAAACTAGGGTGGTAGTGTAGACATACCCATAGTTAGGCAGAGCATGAAGGACACAGGGAGGCACAGGGAAGCACCAAGAACAAACTGCAAGCCAAAGGGGAGTAACGGATCATCTTAATAAGAAATGTCTTGGTACAAAGACTCCCTAAAAACTCATGCACATACCAACCTAGGTTCAAGACCATTTCGAGATTAACAGCATGAAGGATAGTAAGTAATACCCCCTTTTGTAAGTTGAGGGGTGGTAACTAGGCAACAGAGGTGGCAACCCGGTACGTAGAAATGATGCAAGTTGCTTGTACCTGTCTATAAAAGGACACCGCAAAAGGTGCTCTCCAGCCGACTTTGGGGGGGGAGGGGGGAATGCACTAGGTGCCTGAACGGCAGGTGTTATTGCCTAAACTTACAGAGTGCACAGTAGCTTAACTCTTGACTGACTGCTGTTAATATCTGTTATATGGCAATAAGCCTGCCAAGTGTTAGTACCTTGTCAACGCGGGCCATAGTGCCCAGTAGTGTAACATTGTACTGATCTCTGTTACCAACTGGTAGAGCTTCGCATTTGACAATAAATCGGCTCAATTGATTTCAAACCTTGCCTGCATCTGTCGTTTCCAGGGCCTCTCAGAGATCTCCTGTGTTGACTCAAGTGCACGGGGTCTAACTCTAGATAAAGGGCCACACGGCCAAAAGTTTATCACTACCGACGGAGTAGAGGTCCTGTCAGGAGCGTGCCAGGATGACCCTGACCAGATGACGCTGACACTGACAGTTCAGACCGCCGAAGGTACCGAGCTACAGAACACAGAGGTACGACAGGTGGATGCATACCTTTCTATGGACTACCAGTTGCTAATGGACACTCATCATGAATTATATAATTACACCTGAGCTACTTTGCTAGTGCTGCAGCTGTGGAGATCAGTTTAATTTACACTATAAAACAGATTAAGCATTTTGATTCTCTGGTGTTACTTTGTCAAACTTCATTTCAAAAAAGGTAAAACATTATGCCCAACACAAAAGGTTTCAATGATTTATTTCAGGCAGGAGTGGAGAACCATTTTTAGATTGGGGTCACTGACCCATCAAAGAAAAAATTGGTTGGGGACCACACAAGTGAGAAGCAAAAAAACCAAACCAAAATGAAAAACAACCTCCTCCAACCCCCACCCCCCACTGATGTGGCCCAAACTGAGAGACTTTAATCCTCTGCTGCCCCAGCCTTCTTGGGTGAGGGGAAACAAAGGGGGGAGGACTGAGGTTAAGAACTTCTGATGCCAGAAAATGAAATCTGGTCTTTCTGGAGTTAGTGGATCTTATGGACCTCCTTAGGCTCTGGGGTAGGGACAGAAATGAGGGTTACAGTGTGTGAGGCAGGGCCACCAGCAAGCAGGATAGGGATGGGGTGCAGGATCTGGAAGGGAGCTGGAGTACAGAAGCAGGCTGGGAGTAGGGTGTCTGGCCAGGTGGAGAGAACAGGAACAAGGGAAGGGGCAGTATGTGGCAAGGAAAGAGGGTGCAAAAACAAGGGAGTGTCAGAGCAAGTTGGGTATACTGTGGGGAGGGAAGTGAGGGGATGGAGGGTCTGGGGATGAGGGGGAACATGACCTGGCTTCCTGCCCCCTTGCAGCAACATCTGCAGCCACACTGTCCCAGATGTCCTGGAGGGAGCTTTCGCTGCTGTGACAGCTATGCAGTCCAGGACTGGTCCCAGAGGTACCACTGCCTAGGTGTATATCTGCTGCAGCTAAATGGTCCGGGGCTGGAGGCAATGCTGACACAACCACACGGCCCACAACTGGCCCCAGAGGCACCCCTGCCATGGCCACATGGCCCCAGCAGCATGAGATTCTATGACTGTGGCCATAAGCTGGTCTGGGAAGCCAGAGGCACAGTGGCAGCGGTGCCTCTAGCTAGTCTGTGTGGTGCAGCCTTAGCCCCAGTGCTGCCTCCTCTCCAGTGGCTACATGGTGGAAAGAGAGGTGGGGCTGAGCTCCTTCCCTCGCAGCATATGCCAGTTAGGAGGCAGAGCACAGCACTGCCTTCCAGTCAAGGTAAAAGCCCTAGGCGGGCTGGATTCTGCCCATTGAGGGACTTTTTCCCATCTCTGTTATAAGGTTCCTCCCATGTGGGTTCTCCGATGTGCAACTAGCCTGGAACTCTCACTGAAGCTTTTCCCACAGTCAGAGCAGCTGAAGGGCTTCTCTCCTGTGTGGGTTCTCCTATGTTTAACTAGGTATGACCCATGACTGAAGCATTTTCCACAGTGAGAGCAGCTGAAAGGTTTCTCTCCTGTATGGGTTCCCCTATGTTTAACAAGGTGTGACCTATGACTGAAGCATTTCCCACACTCAGAGCAGCTGAAAGGTTTCTCTCCTGTGTGGGTTCTCCTATGTCTAACCAGGCTTGAACTCTTACTGAAGCTTTTCCCACAGTCAGAGCAGCTGAAGGGTTTCTCTCCTGTGTGGGTTTTCCTATGTGCAACAAGGTATGCCCTGTGACTGAAACATTTTCCACAGTCAGAGCAGCTGAAGGGTTTCTCTTCTGTGTGCGTTTTCTTATGCGCAACAAGGCTTGAGCTCTGATTGAAGCTTTTCCCACAGTCAGAGCAGCTGAAGGGCTTCTCTCCTGTGTGGGTTCTCCTATGTACAACAAGGTGTGACTTGTGACTGAAGCATTTTCTACAGTCAGAGCAGCTGAAGGGTTTCTCTCCTGTGTGGGTTGTCATATGCCTATCAAGGTATGACCTCTGACTGAAGTTTTTCCCACAGTCAGAGCAGATGAAGAGTTTCTCTTGTGTGTGGGTTCTCCTATGGATAACAAGGTGTGACCTCTGCCTGAAGCTTTTCCCACAGTCAGAGCAGCTGAAGGGTCTCTCTCCTGTGTGGGTTCTCCTATGTATTACAAGATTAGACCTGTGACTGAAGCATTTTCCACAGTCAGAGCAACTGAAAGGTTTCTCTCCTGTGTGGGTACTCCTGTGGGTAAAAAGATTTGAGCTCTTGCTGAAGCTTTTCCCACAGTCAGAGCAGCTGAAGGGTTTCTCTCCTGTGTGGGTTTTCCTATGTTTAACAAGGTCTGACCTGTGACTGAAGCATTTTCCACAGTCAGAGCAGCTGAAGGGTTTTTCTCCTATGTGGGCTGTTCTACGTTTACTAAGAGTTACACAGTCACTGGAAGTGCAGGATGACTGTTGATAGGGGGTTTTCTGATGAACCGTTTCTTTGTTTGTTTTCACCCCTCTTCTTTTGTGATTCGATTTATCTTGTCCCTCTCCTGGATGGTTTTCTTGCTGCTTTTGTGGGCTACGCTGGCTCTCACATGTCTCTCTCTGCTCAAGACTCTGAGAAAAATGCCCTTCAGATTTTCCCAGTAATATTCCAAATGTGGCCAGAAGACTCTTTTCATTGTTCTCACTCAGCAACTCATCACCTGCTGGGACAGAGAATCCGGAAAGGAGTTATTCCCTGTGCTGAGCTGAAACAAAACTCTAAAATAGAAATAGAAAAGGGGGAGCACGCCCAAGGAATGTCTGGAAAGACTGAGTAATCATGATACGGTGTGACGTAGTGGGGGTACTTGCTGGGCTGTGGTGACCTCTGCTGTCTGGAGCAAGACCCAGCAGGGAAAACCTTATTATGCAAAGGTGACTCCATACCAGTTGAATCAGCCAACCCCCCATGGGGAGAAACAAAGGGAGGTGGAATGCTGCCCTGGCTGGGGGCAGGGCTTGGAGAGGGGGAGTTAGTTCCTGGCTGGAAAGCAGGGGAGAAGGAACTGGGGAGGGGGCTGGGATTCCCCTATCTCAAGGGGGGCACTGAGGCCTCTTAGCCCCCAGTTCCTGTAACTAGATTACATCTGTGCTGTGGTTATTATACTGGCTGGTGAAGTCTGTTCGTGCCATTCCGGGGCTGCAGGAGACTGGGGAACCCCAATGCGCCGTCACATACAGGCTTACCGTCCTTCACCATAACCCTTCCCCCGCTCAGCACCCTCATACTGGTGTTCAAGACAAGCAGAAGGGTCAGTCAGACTTGATGAAAATGCACAAGTGACATCTGCTATGAGGACACTGAAATTAGTTTCTGAGTCAGTTTAGCTGATTGCTCACCTGTATAGTTGTCATTGATGATTTCTCCTCTCTCACAGTCCTGGAGATCTAGGATCTGCAGCTCCTCCCCCTCCTCCGTCCTGGAGATCACATGAGCATTGGAGACCAGAAATCCTATTTGGAGAGCAGTTAAAAGAATTGATTTGGTTATTAGGGTCTGTGCCATTGCTGCTTCCAGAGCCAGGATCTGAGTTGCCCACCCAGAGAGGGCGCTGGTTGGTACAAGATCCCAGGAAACAGTCACATGCAGTAAAGATGCATCCCCTCTACCTCAGGAATGGCCTGGCTGATTCCCCAGGAGAGCTGAGCACTTAGCTTCACTCTCTAAGGGTGTGTCTAGACTACATGCCTCCGTCGACGGAGGCATGTAGATTAGACAGATCGGCAGAGGGAAATGAAGCCGCGATTTAAATATTCGCGGCTTCGTTTAAATTTAAATGGCTGCCCCGCTCTGCCGATCAGCTGTTTGTCGGCAGAGCGGATCAGTCTAGACGTTCTTCTGTCGACAGAAAACCCTTTTGTCGACCGCCCCGGGAAACCTCATTCCACGAGGCATAATGGGGCGGTCAACTAGGGCTTCCCTTGTTGACCGTGGAGAGTCCAGACTACCGCACTGTGCGGCCAAACAGCTGATCTAGAAACCTATGTCTAGAAACCTCATCTACATGGCTCCAACGACAGAGCCATGTAGTCTAGACATACCCAAAGAGTCACTCTCTAGGGACTGGTTGTCAGTTGGGCGTAGACCAGACTCTGTGTATCCATGACATCTACCCCCAAAAGTATCTCTGTGTCTTTTCCTCCCTAACCTTGTGCACAAGAGAACCTCCAATAGTCCTGCAAATTCTCCCTCCATTAGCCAATGTTTTTCCCACAATCCCTTCTTCCCTCTAAAAATAAAGACAAAGTAAAAATTTTCCTAATCCATGGACTGCAATCAGAGTACCATATTTTAGCGAATATAACCCGTGAGTTATATTCATTTAATCGCGGCTTCATTTCCCTCTTCCCATCTGTCTAATCTACATGCCTCCGTCGACAGAGGCATGTAGTCTAGACACACCCTAAGGTACAACTCAGTCTCCCTCTTGGCCCGTTCCATACCCTCCACCACAGGGCAGGACAGGAACACACTGCTCAGAAAGGGAACTCTAAGGAGGGCTGGTGGGTGTGATACTAAGGTCCCCAGGCAAGGCTCTGATTGCAGCTGCCACCTGGCGGGTCACTAGGACTTGGAGAGAAAGGACCCAGCAGATGTCTAGCTCCTCAAGTGCTCTGTCCACAAAGCTCCTGCCTAGGCTCTCCCTGATCTTTGGCTCAGATGCTCTACTTGGGCCAGAAGGAGGCAGAGGAAGTTGTCTGAGCAGGAAAGTGCCTTGGCAGGCTGCTTCATGCCCTGTCTTTGCTCCACACTCGTGAACCCGACTGCCTGTGCCTGCTGGGCCGTGCTAGCCGCCCACAACAGCTGTCACTCCCGTGGCTGGCCAGGGCAGTTTCTATGGCCGGCCTGGGTGGGGATGGGCCGTGCTGCTTCTCTCGTGCTTGTGGGTGTTGCTGCAGCTCAGCTCCCCCTCTGCAGCCTTCGTTCTACTCTGCCAGCAGCAGCCTTTGTGTGGTTTCCCAGCCTCCCTCTTGTGATCAGTCAGGCCTGCCATTCGGTGCCCCTTTGAGCTGCACAAAATCTACCAGAGACAGGAAAGGACTCAGACTTCACCCTCCTTCCAGGGACTTAGCACATTGGCAGAAGGAGACCCTGCAGGCCCTAACAACAGCTGCACCCAGCCCCACAACTCTGGTACCTGCCATTCCTGCCTGTGAACTTCCATTGACTAGAGATGCAATAGTCTAGTCCAATGTTCCTCAGTTTTATTTGGCCATGAAACCCATTTTTTAAATAAAATTGCAGAAGGAAACTGGTCAAGCAGGTGGAGAGGGAGGAGAGACTGTCATGGAAAGAACAAAAAAAAACCCAAACCCACACCGGCCCGCCCCTAACACTGCATTTAATGGGCTCCTTCATTTTCCTGCCTGAATTGTTCTTCAGCTTCCTCTCTTCGCTGTGTTGATTTTTCCCAGGCTTTCCCCTGTTCTACATACTGGGAACAATCCCCTTCAGCTCTTTCGAAAAATGTTCCCTGTGATTCTACCATGCCAGGACCTTCCTGCTGTGGATTCTCCTCCTTGTTCTCCCTCAGTGTCCTAGCACTTGCTGGGAGAGAAAGAATCCAAGCAAGAGTCACTGACCGTGCTGAGAAGGGACCAACCGGAAAATGGCAAAGACATAATAAGGATGTTAAGTATCGACTAACTGACGAATCAAATAGTCAGTGCATTTTGCATCACTATTTGATTAGTCGATAGGGCGCCTCCGCCATTGTAATGTAGCTGCAGCCCTAGGGCTATTGCTACACTTCAAAGGTGAAAGTGCCGTGTGGAGCCTGGGGTCAGCTGGGGACTCCCCCACTGACCTGGTGTTCCATGCTGCACTGCCCTTTGAAAAGCCGTGGATATCCTGAGGCTGGGCTCCCTGCAGCGTTTGAAAGCAGCAGCGCTGCTCAGAGCCCAGGTTCCGAGGGGGAAGCCCAGCTGATCCCAGTTTCCACACCAGGGCTACTCAACTGTAGACGCTCCGGGGCCGCAATGATACTCACGTCCCATGCCGAGGGCTGCAACTTAAGTGTGGTTGCATATATATACAAATATATGCAAATAGCTTCTTTCCCATGGATAGGCATGAATACAAAGATTAAGGCAAGACTACACAACACGCAGGTCTTATTTAGGTCAGTTCTGTTGATATTAATAACATGCAATAGTGACCCGATTTCCACCATATGACAGCACTTTTAATGCGGATGACAGTCCAGGAATTTAACTACCAAAACGCATATCAACAGAAGACCATTATATTGACTTGCTGTTGTGAAGTGTTCCCAGTGGAGGCAAAAGATCCCACCCGCAGGCCATGAGTTGAGCCCCGTGTAAACCCAAACTGCACTGTGGGCCACGAACAAATGGTCCATGGGTAGAGTACTGGTGCTTTGAAAGATCATGTGCAGCCGGGAGACACCCCAGCTGGCTCCGGGCTGAAGGCGGCATTTCAAAGCAGCAGTGCCACACGGAGCCTGGTGCCTGGTCCCAGACTCCAAGAGGCACTGCCTCCGTTAAGTACCTGCACTCTCCCCACCTTGTTGCCTCTTCGTGATAGAGGTGGAAGGGGGTGAGGGAAGCGATTAGTCGACTAGCCTGTCGACAATCCAATAAGCATTTGCTTAGCAGCTACTCGACTAGCCCTTCACATCCCTAAGCCAGAAAGCACAGCACAATAAAACTTTGGGAGACTGAGATATTGTATGTGGGTGCACATCCTATCCAAACACTCCCAAAGAAGGAAACATAGGGAGGAAACTCCTGACAGGTAATGGGATGTCTGGGGAGCTGTGGGGGTTGTCACCCATTTTTGGCTCATTTTTGGAAGCCTCAGGTTTTTCCTGCATTTCTGGAATGTTTGTGTGTCAATTTCTCTGGTTTCTCACCTGTGCGACTCTCTCTCAGGAACCCCATTTCTTTGGAAGGCTGGAGATCTGGGACCCACGGTTCTTCCCCTCGTTCCAGCTGGATGATCAGGTCAGGTTTGGAAATGGAGAATCCTGCACAAGGGTAAAATCAGGTAAGGTGAAGGCACATGGAGTCTGAGCAGAGTGTGTGTCACAAGAAACATTCATTGAGGCCAATCTGATCCTGCATGGGACCGGGACTTGAGAGCAGCAGACTTCTGGGAAGGAAAGGACATGGGGATGTGATGAAGTCAGGACTGTATTCACTCTGTTTGCTTTGTTATGTTGCATGTGATTTTGACTGTCCTGTAGTAACCCTATTGGCTGTATCTAGACTGGCCACTTTTTCCAGAAAAGCAGCTGCTTTTCCAAAAAAATTGCCAGCTGCCCGACTCCCCTCTCTCCGCTACGGGAGTTTAGGCGGCACCTGACCTCCAAGAGGCCCCTGGGGCCGACAGTAAAACTAACCGCAACGCCGGACGGCGATCCACAGGGTGGCGGGAACACGTGACTGGGGGGTAGAGAGCTTGGGGTGCCCTCGCGGCCCCGATATACTCATTTACAGCGGAAAAGTGCATCTAGATTGGCCACGGATGCTTTACTGCAAAAAGTGCTTTTGCGGAAAAGCGACCTGCCAATCTAGATGCGCTTTTCCAAAAATGCTTTTAACAGAAAACTTTTCCGTTAAAAGCATTTGCGGAAAATCATGCCAGTCTAGACGTAGCCTATGTGTGTTCCTCTGTTCCCGTGGCATTACACCACTATCTAGATGGGGACAGGAATTGGGGGTGACTCACTGAGGAAGAATACACATCCACAATAGCCCAGGCTCAAAATAATCTGAGTCTGAGAGGGGTATGTGACCAGTGGACGGACGCCTTTTCCCTGGGAAGCTGGATAAAGGTTTGAGACGGGGCTGCCTGCGTCCAGTGACAAGCTGTACAGGGTGGAAGTGAGTCTCGCAGGCTTAGGGACAGAGGTGTGGGGTGCAGGGCCCAGTGACTCATTACCTTTCAGTGACAGCGAGTGTTACGCCCTCACGAGGGCTGCGTCTAGACTGGCATGAGTTCCTGCAAATGCTTTTAACGGAAAAGTTTTTCCGTTAAAAGCATTTGCGGAAGAGTGTCTAGATTGGCACGGACGCTTTTGCGCAAAATCACTTTTTGCGGAAAAGCGTCTGTGCTAATCTAGACGCGGTTTTGTGCAAGAAAGCCCCAATCGCCATCGGGGCTTTTTTGCGCAAAACAGTTTTTAGCTGTCTACACTGGCCCTCTTGCGCAAATGCATTTGCACAAGAGGGCTTTTTCCTGAATGGGAGCATCATAGTATTTGTGCAAGAACACTGACAATCTTACATTAGATCGTCAATGTTCTTGAGGAAATTCAAGCGGCCAGTGTAGACAGCTGGCAATTTTTTCGTTTTGCGGAAAAATCTGCCAGTCTAGTCGCAGCCTAGGAGTTTGAATGATCTGTGGATTTCTAGAGGACTCGCTGACACGCACACACAGCTTGGGGGCTAAACTCCTGTCTGTTTCCAAGCCTGTGGAACCAGATTCCTCCACAAATGGAGACAGTCCCAAGGTGACAGGTGAATGGTGCGTGAAAGAGAAATAACGTAGGCAGCACAGTTCCCTGCTTTTGGCCCCTGAAAGCTGGGGAGATGGGAATGAATTTGCATGTCCCTTAGGTGTCTGATTCCCCTGTTCCCCAGAAAGAGGCATGGTGATCAAAGTGCCCCTCACTCGAGGGTTTTGGGCTCCACTCCTCTCTCAAACTGACTATGGAAGAACCTGATCCGACGCAGAAATGCCGGCCACAGGGCGCTGCTCATTGAGGGCACAGGAATCCTTACCCAGCGAGGCCACCGTCTCATAGTTCTCCTGCATGACGTCCTCGTAGAGGTCTCTCTGCATGGGGCTCAGCAGGACCCCCTGCCCCGCGGTGAAATACACAGCCACCTCCTCGAAGGTCACCGGCATCTGAAACAGGGGACCCCCCACTCAGTGCCTGACACCCCAGCCACAGCCCCACTCGTCACCATGGAGGGGGCCCGAAGAGCAGACTCCCACCCCCACCCTGTCCCAAGAGGCCAGGATGCTCCAGTGAGAGAGAAGGATCAGGGCAGGGTCTTCTCAGTCACCCACATGCCTGCCACAGGCTGAGGTGGGAGCAGAGCTCGGCACAGGCCACAGGGACAGGAATCCCAGCCTCTTCCTAGCTCATGGCAGCCTCTGGCTAGTGAGCTCCGTCTCCAGCGTGAGAAACAGGAAGAGGAACAGCCAGGCTGGGTCCGACCAAAGGCCCCTCCGGCCCAGTGTCCTGTCTGCCCACAGCGGCCAATGCAGGTGCCCCAGAGGGACTGAACTGAACAGGGAACCACCAAGTGATCCACCCCGTCACCCATTCCCAGCATCTGGCAAACAGAGGTTCAGGACACCCTCCCTGCCCATCGTGGCCCATAGCCACTGATGGACCAATGGAGACTCTGGTCTGTTTTTCCAGTCCATGGGAAGTTTCCTCTTTCAGAAATGGGAGAGCGTTCACCCCCCCTCCCAATGGGCCTGGTCAGATCATCAGGCCCTAAGCTGAGCAAGTCCCAGCAAGTTTACCCCACCCTGCCCCCTCACTGCCTCACCCTGTTTATTTCCTGCCCCCCTCCCCACACACACACAATCCCTTACCTGAGCCAGCTCCATCATAGCCATTTCCCTGCCTTGTGTACTGCAAGATGGCATCATCTGGAACAAAAGGCAGACATGGTGTGGTGGCACGTCAGGGTTCCCCCAACTCCTGCACCCCCGTAATGGCACCAACAGACTCCGCCAGCCAGTAGAACAGAGGGAGTTTATTGCTTCTCCAGGATACAGCACAGTACAGGAACCGGGCCTAGGATGCTTCAGGCTCCCAGGAGATGGGGGAGCCTGGGCCCCTAAATCCCAGCCCCTTGCTTAGGCTGCTTCCTCCATGATCCCAGACAGAAACTAAAAAACTCTCTTCCAGCCCTGCCCCCCAGCCAGGTACTGGTCTCCACCTTCCCCCCCTTTGTCTCCCTCCCTGGGAGACTGAGCCCAGGTGTCTGGGTTAATCCACATTTGGGAGGGTCAGTGAGAATCTCCCATCACAGCGCAGGGGGACCCCGGGTCACAGAGCAGACAGCCCCCCCACTACGTCACACGTGGGTCTTGGTCCTGTCAGGTCGAGAGGGGTGTCACAGGGAGGAGAGGGGGGAATTGTTCTTGGCCTCTGATGATAGCATATGCAGCCATGGCCTTAAACTGCACCAAGGGAGGTTTAGGTTGGACATTAGGAAAAATGTCCTATCCGGATGGTGAAACACTGTACTCAATTGCCTAGGGAGGTGGTGGAATCACCATCTCTGGAGATGTTCAAGAGCAGGTTGGACAGACACCTGTCAGGGATGGTCTAGCTGGTGCTTTGCCCTGTCATGAGGGCAGGGTACCGGACTTGAGGATCTCTCGGGGTCCTTTCAGTTCTAGCATCGTGTGGTTCTGTGATTGAGGTGGTTTCTCAAGGGTCTTTGGTCCATTTCACACCCCAGTTCCTCCAGGCTCTGGCCAGGTTCGGAAACCGTTAGTTGTGTGGTTACGACACAGACCTGGCCCGTCCCACCAGGGGTCACCCACCAGGCACTTGCACACCCTCCCTGGGGCCGAATCCGAGAAAGACACTAGAAAAGAGCAAAAGTTCCAAACCTGCCACTCTGGGGGGTTCCCTGACAGTGTCCTGGAGGGCAGCGCCCCCTGCCCCATCACACTGGGACTGGTAAGGGGAGGAATGGGCTTTGACTGCCCTGGGAGCAAGGGACAGGGAAGGAAATCTGCCCAGGGTGAGGCAGTGAACGGGTCTGGGGAGGTTGAGGGGCTGGGAACCTCTCTCCCGACCTTCTGCAGCTGCTGCCCCTTCTGCTCTCCCCAGTCCCCCTCCTGCCCTCTCCCCTCTGCTGAGAGCACTGGTGCCTGCCCTGTGCCCATGGGCATTTGCTCTCCAGTAGGAGCCTGGCTGTGTCACTGAGGCAGCAGCTCTGGGATCTGCAGGGCTTTTTCTGCTTGTGAAGGGATGGTGTTGAGGCCTACCCAGAATATGTCAAATAAGCACCAGTTTAAATTGTAAGGCTGTGTCTAGACTGGCCAGTTTTTCCGGAAAATCAGCTGCTTTTCCAGAAAAACTTGCCAGCTGTCTACACTGGCCGCTTGAATTTCCGCAAAAGCACTGACTTTCTACTGTAAGAAATCAGTGCTTCTTGCGGAAATACTATGCTGCTCCCGTTCAGGCAAAAGTCCCTTTTACGCAAAACTTTTGTACAAAAGGGCCAGTGTAGACAGCTCAAATTTGTTTTCTGCAAAAAAAAAACCCGATCGCGAAAATGGCAATCGGGGCTTTTTTGCGGAAAAGCGCATCTAGATTGGCACGGACGCTTCTACTGTAAGAAATCAGTGCTTCTTGCGGAAATACTATGCTGCTCCCGTTCAGGCAAAAGTCCCTTTTACGCAAAACTTTTGTACAAAAGGGCCAGTGTAGACAGCTCAAATTTGTTTTCTGCAAAAAAAAAAACCGATCGCGAAAATGGCAATCGGGGTTTTTTTGCGGAAAAGCGCATCTAGATTGGCACGGACGCTTTTCCACAAAAAGTGCTTTTGCGGAAAAGCATCCGTGTCAATCTAGACGCTCTTTTCCGAAAATGCTTTTAACTGAAAACTTTTCTGTTAAAAGCATTTCCGGAAAATCATGCCAGTCTAGACGTAGCCTAAGTGTAAAGGAAAGGCAGCATTGTGAGATACAGGAGACGTAAGATAAAAAACCAAAATGTGATTGGATGACCAACAGTAACCCCGTTTTTAGGGAAGTAAAGTAACACAGACTGCAATATGCAACAAAGTGCTGATAACCCCAAAAGGAGCAGATGAAAGTTTTGAAAGGGCAGAATGAGACAACAAAAATCTAACGTCAGCAATTGTCAGGCGAGTAGAGGAATACCAATATACTGAAACAGGGTATAGAAGGTTGGACAGAACAGACCAAGAGCAGACAGGTTGCAAATCCAAAAAGCTAGGTCTGATCAACCAGGGCTCCCTCCCCAGCACTGAACCTCGCTGCCGTACATAAGTGCTGAAAGGGGAACACCACCAGTCGTAAGTTGCAACGAAAAATCCAAAAAAGGAGAGACATAAAGAAAAGAATATCTCCTGAATCTAAGCAATGATTCTATCTGTCTTTACGTGAGTATTCTATATTTGATAACTCCACAAATTGTTTACAGGTAAATCTGGAGGGTATAGATGTAGGAGGAGTTATTATTTCTTGTTTTTTAACTGGACTGTTTTTTCTACTTTTTATTTGTATGTTACACTGTCTTAAACGAATCAAAGATAGTGAATTGATTTAAATGAAAAATTAATTATAAAGTAAAAGAAAAAGAAAAATCTTTGTTCGACCCTAAAAAGAAGTATTCCTCTGTCTGTGGTTTCAAATCCTTTAAAGAACCAAACCCGGTTACCGAAACTGCTGAACTTAAAGTTGGACAAATATTCCGTTACCAACTCTTTGGCCAGGCCTTGGGGGCAAGAGGCAGAGCAAGAGCAGGGAACAAAGATTCCCCCCCCCCCCACTACTTCTGTAGACCTTCACTCCCAACACTAGGAAGGTGGCAGCGGTGTGCCTGGGGAGAGGTGACCCGTGTCACATTCCCGGCATTTCCCCCTCCTGCATGGATGGACCTTTGGGGCAGGCCCAGACTCCCTGACTTTTCACCCAGCTTCTGTCACACTGTGGGGTGGCGCAACCCCCAGGAAAGGGCTGAGCCATGGGGCGCTGGGTGAGGGGCAGGATCTGAGAGTTTACCCGAGACCTCAGGGACCCGGCATGAGGCACCATTCCAGGCATCTCTCTGACAGGAGCAGAAGGGGATTCACTGGGGATGGCGAGTGTGGGGGGAGCATGTCAGGGCTTGGGTAGCTTGTTGCCCTGGTTAGGGTGTGGCCAAAACACAGGCCTCACTGTGAGCAGGATTGGAACCTGCGCAGGGAAACCGTATTGGATTTCTAGTCCAACGCCTTAACCACTCAGCCATCACAGCTGTGAGTCTATCAGCCCAGGGAAACTAGTAAATAATCCCAGTGCCCAGATTTGACGTCACCTGCCACACAGAATTCAAACAGCAAATTATTTGAACGGTCGTGCAGAGGAGTCTTGGCCACTCTGGTCTTAGAGTAGGTCTACACTTCATTCCTCTCTTGAGGGAGGAATGCAAATGTACACACCCGAAATTGCAAATGAAGTGGGGATTTAAATATGCCATGCTTCATTTGCATAATTACGTTATAGCACTATGTCGCAAAAAAAGGTTATTTTGAGAGAAAACCCTTCCCTTGAAATAACTCTTACTCCTCAAAAAATGAAGTTTAAGGGTTATTTCGAGGGAAGGATTTTCTCTCGAAATAACATTTTCTCCACAGAATAGCACTATCGCAAATTACCGCCATTACGTGACTATGCAAATGAAGCGTGGGATATTTAAATCCCTGCTTCATTTGCAATTTCGGGTGTCTACATTTGCACTTCTCCCTCGAAGGCAGAATGAACTGTAGACATATCCTTAGGCTGTGTCTTGGAGGTGAGCTCTTCTTCAAGGTCTTCCCTCCTCCTTCTTGGTCTTCCTTCCTTCTTTTCTCTTCTCTTTCCCCTTTTCCTTCTTGCTGTTCTCCTTCTTGGACCCCAGTTTATATAGTGAAATTGAGTCCTGCTTAGTTATACCTTAAAATTATACTAAAATAATTGGTTACTAACCAGTCATAATATACTTTTATGATTTACTTAACCAATCATATCCCACCACCTTCATTGATTTACACCTAACAAAATTAATTATAGAGCAGAAACAGATACAAACCAGACAGCGACCACACAGATAAACAATAGGAAAGTGAGGACAATAATCATAGAATGAGGATTGCACCACCACAACTACTGATAAGGAGTTTCTTGCAAGAGATAATGCTGTAACTAAGTTTTCTCTACCATCTTGAGATGTGTTTCTTTTCTGGTGAGAGTGGGTGTCACTAGGATACGATAACCTTCTCACAGCTAGTGTGACACGATTTCAATGTCATTTAGCTAGAATGTGAGCACGTGACTCTAGGATTTACAGCTAATTGCTGCTGCTCTTCAGTCTGGCTGCAGAAGAAGGCTTTAGTTGAGGCCTACCAAATAGCCAAACACGCCCACTCTTTTGGAAACTGATCTGAAAAAGTGGACCCATTCCCTGGGTGCGGTAGAGTTTTTCCAGGATATGAGATGTTCTGCAGCCTGGCAGGGGTAGAGGGGCAATTAGAGACATTTCAGAGAGGCCTATAATCCTTGCCATGCCCCCATTCTGGCAGCAAGGTGGGAGGGAAGTGACTAGTTTAGTAGTGACTCGACTACCCGATAAGCATATGCTGCTCAGGTAGGCGACTACCTGACTAGTCGCTTACATCTCTACTCTGATATTTGCAAAAAAAGAGAGAATTGATTTTAAAAATCTGGATTTTGGCATCATAGAATAGTAAGACTGTCAGTGTGAAAAGCCCAATTGGAACGTATTGTAACAATAGGGCTACCTCTACACTGGCATGATTTTCCAGAAATGCTTTTAACGGAAAAATTTTCCGTTAAAAGCATTTTCGGAAAAGCGCATCTACATTGGCAGGACGCTTTTCCGGAAAAGCACTTTTTGCGGAAAAGCATCCGTGGCCAATCTAGACGCGCTTTTCCGCAAAAAAGCCCCGATCGCCATTTTCGCGATCGGGGCTTTTTTGCAGAAAACACTACTATGCTGTCTACACTGGCCCTTTTGCGCAAAAGTCTTTCAGAAAAAGACTTTTGCCCGAACGGGAGCAGCATAGTATTTCCGGAAAAGCACTGATGATTTTACAGTAGATCGTCATTGCTTTTCCGGAAATTCA